AATTCAATGTATATGTACAGTAAGCCTGTCTAACCAACTTTACAGCATACTTTACAGAAAAAAAAACATGGTATTTTCTCATGCACACCCCTTTTCTCTACAGAGATTACTATTTTTAAATTTAGATTTTAAATCACACTGCAAACCCTTTGCACAAACTATATCACTTTAAAGCCACAATTCATGAATCAAAAAACAAAAAAAATTAACCACTTCTAATACAAACTTCATATTGTAGCGCTCTAGGGTTCACGTGGGTATGCGCCCTCACCACTGCTGCCTCAGGTCGGCCCCCCCACCGCTAAGGACTCGAAGCCAGGCCTCCGGCGTCACTCAACAGGGACCCAGCCAGTTGAGCTAAAGGGAAATCTCCCGTCAGCCATACTGCTGCAGTCCCTGCTATTCACAGGGAAGGGCGGTGACGTCACCGCACTGGTAAGCCGGCTCACACATCCTGCAATGTCGGCCATATGCGTTACAATATTAAAACAACTTAATTTACTGGACAACCCTATGATGCTCCACACCATGTGCTCCAACTAGATATTTATATATATATAGACTAGAAGAAGAATTTTATTTTTCCACAAGGAACTTCATTTGTTGCTGGATACAAAACACATCCTTCATGAAAAAACACATTCCTGATAAGTGTTACATATCACATAAAATCACACAAAAGAGATCACATAAAATCATCAGTCCAGTGTATTATACTGTAAAATACTATATTTTTGACATGGAACAAGCAATAGGTTTATTCCATGCTAAAAAGAGAAGAAAGAAAACACAACGTTTCAGTTGTAGAGCCTGAAGCTCACACCTGAAGAAGGATCCACGGCTGAAACGTTGTTTTCTTTATTCTCTTTTCAGCATGGAATAAACCTATTACTGTACTTGTTTCTTTGCAGTCTGCGCATGCTGACGCAGCTCGCCACCTGAACTATATTTTAGACAATACCCAATTCTATTATGAAACAGTTGAATTAATTATAAGGAAGCTATCAAAAAAAGGGAAGGAAGTGAGGGGATTTGTCCATAAATCAATGAGCATGGTGGAAATGGGATGTATGCAGCCTAATAGACACAGGCATGAAGCTGGAAAGGCCCTGCTTAGTGTTCACAGGCATGAACTGTATCCAACATCAAGATGATAAAATGATGATAAAATGAAGATGATAAAATGGCATACTGACTACAGAGGAGGTGAGTAGGATCAAGGACAATATCATTGACCTTCATATACTGTATGTTCTAAAATGATATAGATCATTAAGAGTATGCTGTCTAGTGTCTGCTAGTTTTAGAGATAAAGTACCACTCGCTCCAACATTTTCACATACAATGTAAAAAGGGCAGGAGAAATATTTGAGCCTTGAGGAACGCCAGTGAAGATTACTTCCATTTAATTAATCTGACACAATAAGGCATCGCTTTTAGAAAAGAAATAATCCACAAAGTAAATTGTGGAATTACTCCTATGTAAACAAGTTCCCTACCCATCACCCGGGGTTGAATAGTGTTAAAAGCACTAGCAAAATACACACCAATGCCTTAGGCTTCTCCAGGTTGCTATAAACATGATACATCAATGTCAAAACAGTATCTTGCATTCCGCTGGTACTGTACATGAACGGGAGTGGGTTAAACCCCGGACCATCTCCTTCAACTCTTTCAACACCAGAAGCTCAAAACTGTTACAAATACGGGATTAGAAAAATGGTGAAATGCCAGAAAATGGGCAGAGAGGATTAATTAATTAGAAAAATAAATAATTATAACCTCCAACTTGCAAATGAACATACCAGAGCAGTTGATGCAATTAGAGGCACCTGAGGTCTTTGTTCTTTGACATAATGTGTCTCACCTCAACAGCCACGTATGGTGATATTAGCAAAGAACACAGACCAGTATGTGCAATCAAAACAATCACAAAGTGACTCCTCTGCAATGTAATACCATTTCTTTACAGTTTAAAATGTAGCCCCTTCCTTTTATTTAACATATTTTGTGCGATATGTTGGAAAAAGATGAGTAGTATTGTGGTTAACGGAGCTTTTTTGATGATCTGTAAGAATTTTTTACATGTCCATAACAGAGATATGGAGATATGGAGATATACCCATAATATGAAGGCTGGTCTTTATTAATTTTACAGCTATTAAAATCTAAAAGGAAGAGGACAGGGGACTATGGAGATTTTTGTCCGAAGTGCTGCACACATGCTGTAATATCAGCCACACAATTAATATTCACAGATGGAGGAATGTTATCAGGGATAACACAAAATTGCCCCAAATTTTGAGACAAATATTTTGGTCTATTTCTTAACTAAATCTAATAAAGCACAAAGTTCACCCATACTGTACCTATCTCTACCTGCTTATCTCAGTTGACCAGGGACACTGTTCTTTAAAAAAAATAAATTATTCCCATGAAACAACATTAAGCAATTAGATTTTTTCCCATAATCCACGACTTTTTATTTGTTGATGTTAAAACCAGGACTTAACCTGCTCTATCTAGAGTCATCACTGTCATCTATAAGGAGAGTACTCTGCACACTGACCAGCAATGCACAGCTCCATTAGGCACTAATGCCTCCGTTAGCCCACTCTGATACTCTGCAGTACACAACTAACTTGAGACTGGCAAACAAACTACCCAACAACCACCTGGTACAGACCTAAACTCTCTTTTCTCCAGTATTGGAGAAAAGACACTTGCAAAGTTACCTGCAAATCATCTCAATCCAAAACTATGAGCCCTGCATACACCTTTACCTTTCATGCAAGAATCTAGACACTTATTGCAGCCTTTCCTTCTGGCTCATATAACCCTCACAATTAGCTCCGAGTAGTGACAAGTTACATAAGTGACCGATCACGCTAGCAATAATCACACAAGTGGAATGTCTCTTGCTCTGAATATTAATATTATATTTAGTTCTAAAATTCAGCATACATTTTCTGTGAAACAAAACATAATAATGTTTATATTTACATGTATTAAAATAATTATAGTAATCATGAATTAATTGCTCAATGTTGAGATCAGTGTATATTAAGTGAGCAGCACAGTTTGTCATGGCACTATTCTGGGTCACATGGATCACATTCAGTGATTATGGTGAGTTGTGTCTTGTTCTGTGCTCAGTGTTCTGGAAATAAAAGAAATTAAATTGTGCTTCTTAATGTTCAATTGAAAGATTGTAATGGACACCACAAAGCAAGCTGTCTGTTTGGAGACCTCCATCTGAGCTTTAAATATGTTGATTCCACCCTACCCAAAATGTATGGTAATGTACCTTTATCATGCACTGTAGACTTAATAACAAACATCAGGTAGATAAGTACATCTGAAGAGTTTAGATCTTTCAAGAGGGTGTTGATTTCCGCTTTTGTACTCAAATAAGAGTCAATGTATCTGTCACGAATGACCCTTAGAGCAATCAGGAGGATGGACCCCGTGTGGTACCTCGCCAGGTGGCTTCCAAAGCAAGAGAGGGCTAGGCGAGTGACGTGGTCAAGGTCGAGTTCCATAGTTCGTATCCAGAAGGCGCATAGAACGCTTCCGATCCATGAGAGGGCTTAGGGGAGAGATGTGGTCAAGGGCAAGTTCCGTGGTTCATACCCTGAAGAGTTTAGAAGGAGTGAGGACGGTGAGGTAGGAGCTCCAAAGGAGGACCAATAACAGGCGAAGAGCAGAGAGTTTTGAGGGTTTAAATATTGTTAGAGGAGGAAGGTGCGTTGATAGATGGATTGTCGTGGTTAGTTGATTGACAGGAACGGTGTCGTTTAGAAGAAGTGGAGTGTAATTAGCGTGAGTGCGTTTTCGTGTGGGAATCTGGTTGGATAAGGGCATAACAGTATAATTTCCAAACACAAAAGAAAACTTATCAGCAGAAAGTGATTAATTGACACTTCATTTCTCTAAGACAATAGAAAACAAGCCTCTTTGATTTAGTTATAAAAAAAAGGCTTTTTTGTCGTGCAGAAACAAATTATAAGACTACCTTATTGTAGAAAAAAGCTCATTTTGTGAAGTTTAGAATTACAATGTAATCAAGAGCTCTGTCAGTAGCAGAAATGTGAATATTGACTAAGACTAAGATATCAGAAACTAAAATTGTCCTGAAACTTGATTCACACCTTACCCCTTCTCTCAGCGACACACTTGTTTTAATCACTTGTTTTAATCTGAAATTCTCATTGTTTTCATCTCTCCTCACCTCTATAGACCTTGCACCACTTAATTGGCCACTCTGACTCTCCCCTGCTTCTGCCTCCTCCTTTCTCCTGGCTTTTGTTTTCCCATGCTTCAGTATATTATCTTTTCTGACAGCCCTATCTTTCTTACACCCAAAAAAGGCTCAATAGTCAAAACATTGTGTTTCCTTTGTTCTCTTTCTCAGCATGGAATAGACCTATTACTTGTTCCTTTGTAGCCTACACATGCTGATGCAGCTACCCACCTGAACTACGAAATGTGAATATGTTTTGTTCCACTGCTATGATCAAGGAGATGAAGATAATTCCCTGGCCCCCCAAAGAGGTGGTTAAATCTATGATCTGGGAAAAGCGTGTCAGTCCCAAACTTTCCAAAGAGCTCAATGTCCTCATCATCTCCTACGATCAAGTCATTGTTCCAACCACTTTCTTCACACTGGTGAAAGTGTTATTGTCTGCATCTGCACCCTCAATGCAATTCGACTTTAAAACCAGTTCATGTGCTTACAGTACATGCCCACTGAAGAACACAGTGTCAGTGTTTGGCCTTTTGTCACACTTGTCAACCCCCTTACCTGCATAGATTATGTAATCTCCACCACCTCCTGAAATCTCATCATCCCCATAATTGACACTCCCCTCCAAATTATTATGTTATTTCCTCCAAAGTCTTCTTACTGCCCTAATTTCCATGGAGATAATCATCCATATCACCCAATGAGTGTATTACTGGTGCTTAATTACTTAAGGCGGTGGCTCTATAGGTGTGAGACACCTTGGAGTACTTGTCTTCTGTAACACAGGAGATATTGGAGCTTGTACTAATATGCATTGATTTGGAACTGGAATGCATCAAAGGAATGAATAAGGGGATGCTGGTATTCAGGGCCCAGTAAGTTCAGCACAGACTGAGTCATTAATGGAACAGGATGTGTCATCAAAACAGTGTGTGGCCTCTCAGAAAAAAAGCAATGTCTTTGTAGAGACATGAAGACTGATGCTTTCATTCATTGCATCTCCATCTATATTGTTAAGTTCATTGACAAAGACATAAGACTGGCCAACTATATACTGTAAGAGTCATTCCCATTGCCACCTTGCAGGTATTAGTAGCTATTGGAACTTCCAATGCCAGGGTCAATAAAAATATATGAACATTCCTTAGACTTAGCATGACATCATTCCACTTTGTGTCAGAGATCTTTTGTTTAAGTCAAGTATTGTTTCCCATGTGAGCACTGCTCATTGTTAAGGTTCATTTTCAAGTCATTCATGCTCTTTTGGTCAGAGATATTTAGCCTTGGAAATACATTTTTCTATGAATTCTATAAACTTTTTCAATCACATTACTGAAATCAATCTACAGTAAGTCAAGACTTCTTTTCTCCAAGATGCCAGGCTGAGAAAGTCCATAAAGTACAGAATTCTACCCAAGGTATTCTGTGAAAAAAGAAGAAATCTTGTTTCACAAAACCTCTGTTATTTTCAACTGATCAACAGAATATTCTAAACAATGCTTAGCCGGGATAAACCAAGTTCCCCCGTTGTTGACCTTGTAGCTGTACCCCATGAAGACGAACTATGCACAGACTGTTTTTAAAGACCAAAGGCAGCAAGA